ATTGTGGTAAAGTAATTATTTATACAAATCCTCTGACAAGGACTCATTTACTATTGGGTGTTCCCATTTGTGGATTCAAAAACTTGTCTTATTTTGACAGATGATCTGCTTGTATCTAGGATGTTGATTTACTTCAGTATTTAGTCTGTATTTGGAAATGATAAATATTAAATGATACTATAATACAGCTATAAGTACAATTTATCTGTATAGCTCTGATTTCTGTTTCCATAATGATAGTTTACCCTCAGAGCAATTTGAGAATACAAGTCTATGTGATGCAAAGTTGTTTCAACATTTAAGAAGAGAAAGTGGTTTTAATCAAGCCAATACAAGAACCAATCTACTCATAGCTTTATTGTGGCATTGTTTTCATGTTTTTATTACTTTTGATGATGTTAAATAATTTTGGGGCTTCTGTCAAGCAAAATGTACAAATAAACGGCCTCTGTCCAATACTATAATTGCAGTTTGGACTGTCTGTATTGTTTTGTTCATCTTCTGGGATTACATAGAACCCTGAACTGAAACTTAATTTCTGAGTGTTATACTCAGGGTTGCTAGATCAGACTGTCTGAGCCTAAGTTTCGGGGTTTTAGCCCTTTTCTCAGAGATTCCAGGGGAAGGAGTAAAATCTCATTGGGAGGTGCTTCAGTGGAAAATCCCTGTGCTTTCCTTTTCCCTGCTGGAGATGGTAAGTCATTTCATGAAGCAGATTCTGGACCAAAACTAGTGTATGATATAAACTTTTAAGCAGGGTTCAGAAATTCATCTCCTGAAGAGAAAAAGTCAGTATATTGGTAGAATTAATATTCGTCATCAAACCTGTATTAAATGAGAGGATCAATGATTTGTGTTAAATGTAGCCAGTGTATATTTTTGAGCACCTTTTACCTGTTTCTCATATTTTAGGGCTATTGAAGAAGGGTTATGTCATATTGCAGGGATGACCTGCACTATTTCCAGCGACCATTGTGTAAGTCAAGGCAGAAGAATGCCTCATTGCTTCAGAGGGTCCTTTTCCTAGGGGGCAAGACAAGAGGGAGCAGTAAGCTGCTAATGCTCTTGACGTACTTAAGAAGTTTTGTTGTATACTTTTCTCTGAATTAAACTCAGTGAGCCATCTCAGAACTTCATTTTCATAATGGTCTCTAGTGAGAGAGGGAAAGAAAAAAATCCATTGGAAGTCTGAATTTCTGTGGGGAAAGAAATCCACAGATGGGCACCACAACTGAGACCTATTTCTGGTACCCATGCACATAATTTTAGATGGTGGGGGCTATACTGATCGGTGTCTCTAATAATCTGTGTTGAACGACTGCTCTGTAAGAGTTGGCGGGCCTTTAAGTACTGAGATCCAAGTCTATTTAAGTTCCAGTGTCGTGATCTAAGGGAAGGGTTTGCCCTCAGTCAGGGGAATTATTTCTTTTCTTTTTTTCCCTGTTGCTAGCAGCTATGGAATTAGCATGGGGGGGAGGCACCACAGTGCAGCTTTGGGGGTCAGTCAGAACCCTGGACTGGGATCCTTTTGGACCCAGACAAGGCAAGGAAAAGAACATGTACAGACTGAAATGGAAAGGTAATCCCTTTCTTAGTTCCCTGTGATAGTTGTGCGGAAGGGTTCTCTAGGCATGTGCTGAGAGCACAAAAAGAAAATTTAGCAACAACTTATTCCAAATAAAAGCAAGGAAATTTGTTTGGATACCAAAAAACAGAAAGGATTAAGGAAGTGGGTTCAGAATAAATACAAGTCTGATTGAAAGTCAAAAAAGACTTCAATAAAATCCTCAAAAGAAAAAGGGAAATTTTTCATTTATTCAACTTCAAAATAAAAGCATAAACACATTCAAAATAAAACTATAAACTCATCAGCTGTCTACTCAAGCAATCTCAGATACCTTGCAGATGGTGTGATGAACACTGGGATTCAGCCCTTCTCACTCCTCCTGTGGTGGTCAGGAAAAACAGGAAACAATGGTTGGAGTCTCATTTAGATTATTTGAAAACTGGCACCAGGCATCCGATTGACTTAATTTCCAGTAGGTCATAAAAAAACAACTCCTCCTCAGTCTTACCTGGACTGAGCTTCAGTTTGTTGGCCTTCGTCCATCTTTTTTTTTTGAGTACCCAAGGGTACACTTTACAGACATATATAAAAACAACAACATATAACTACCACTAACAAACATTAAACATATAGCAGGAGGCTTATTCCATCTTCTATTCTTAAATTATCTATTACATTTCAAATCTCATTATCTATTTTACTAGCTTATCTTTTCTGCGTACTCAAATTGCATCAGGTTATTACGCTTATATTATACCAGTCATAAAATCTCTTCCAAGTTTTTTGGAACGTCCGTTCCAGCTCTCATTTCCATCGTCAATTTATCATTCTCTGCCGTTTCAAACAGCTTATTCACATATTCTTGTTTCGTTGGAGTCTCCATTGTTTTCCAATATTTAGCATATAAAATCCTTGCAGCTGTTGACAAATAAACAATCAAATACCTATCTGCTTTATCAAAGTCTTTCGGAAATATAGTCAATAGCAATATCTCTGGAATAAATGGGACCTTAGTTCTTGTAATTTTTTGCATTATTTCATGTACCCATCTCCAAAACGTTTTTGTAACATCACATAACCACCACATATGATAGAATGAACCAGTCTTATTCTTACATTTCCAACATTTATCTGAGCAAGTAGCGTTTTGTTTAGCTAGTCTATCTGGTGTAATATACCATCTATAAAACATCTTATACATATTCTCTTTATATGATACAGCATTAGTCAATTTAATGTTTTTCAACCAAATCTGCTCCCACTCCTCAAAGTTAATATTACGCCCAATATTCTGGGCCCATGCAATCATGGTTTTTTTCACCATTTCATCTATCATCACATCATCTAACAAAATCTTATATAATTTCTTTATCACTTTGTTTTCTGCTGTTAACATAATTTCTTCTAACTCAGTTATTTTATCATTAAATCCAAGCCTCTTATCCTTTAAATATATCGATTCCAGTTGCGCTTTCTTCCACCAGGAAAACTGTTCTGGTAATTTAAGATTATCTTTTTTGTCCAAAATGTCCTGGTATCTTAATGATTCTCCTCCCATATAAACATTTGGTAGAGTGAATGCCTCTAAAGGTATTATTAGTCTCGGTCTTTTAGTATAAAAGTTTTTGTGTATAGAGTCCCAGACCTTTAATAGTGCCTTCATCCATCTTATGAACATAAGAATGAAAGAGAAGCCAATGTTGGATGAGGCCAATGTCCCATCCAAGTTCAACACTCTGTCACACAGTGGCCAAAAATACCAGGTGCCATCAGGAGGTCCAGCAGTGGGGCCAGGACACTAGAGGCGCTCCCACTGTTGCTCCCGCCCCAGCACCAAGAATACAGTGCATCACTTGCCCCAGACTGAGAGTTCCTATCTATACCTTATGGCTAATAGCCACTAATGGACCTCTGCGCCATATGTTTAATTTCCTCTTGAAGCCATCCATGCTTGTAGCCACCACCACCTTCTGTGGCAGTGAATTTCATGTGTTAATCACTTTTTGGGTGAAGAGGTACTTCCTTTTATCTGTTCTAACCCAACTGCTCAGCAATTTAATTGAGTGCCCACAAGTTCTTGTATTGTGAGAAAGGGAGAAAAGTACTTCTTTCTCTACCTGTTATATCCCATGCATAATCTTATATACCTTGATCAGCCGTTGTTTCTCCAAGCTAAAGAGCCCCAAGCATTTTAACCTTTCTTCATAGGGAAAAGTGTTCCAACCCTTTTATCATTCTATTTGCTTTTTCTGCACTTTTTCTAATGCTATAATATCCTTTTTGAGGTGTGGTGACCAGAACTGTACACAGTACTCCAAATGAGGTTGCAGCATTGATTTATACAGGGGCATTATGATACTGGCTGATTTGTTTTCAGTTCCCCTCCTAATAATCCTGCGCAGAGTGTTGGCCTTTTTTATTGCAGTCGCACACTGTCTCAACATTTTCATTGAGTTATCTACTATGACTCCAAGACTCTTGGTCACTCTCTGCCAGTTCAGACCCCATCAATGTGTATTTATAGTTAGGATTTTTGGCTGTAATGTGCATCGCTTTGCACTTGGCCACATTGAACCCCATTTGCCATGCTGATGCCCACTCACCCATCCACGACATATCCCTTTGGAGTGCCTCACAATCAGAGGTCATTTCGGGGGGGAACGCGGGGAAACGCAGTTCCCCCGGGTGAGGTGCAGGGGGCGGGGCACATGACAAAGCCCCACCCCCTGCTTCCGGCCACCCCACTTCCAGCCCTCATTCAGCCAGGAGGAGGCAGGAGAAGAGGGAGGGTAAGTTGCTTCCCCCCCGCCTCTCCCCTTACTTAGGAGCCTTTGATGAGGAACTTTATCAAAAGTTTTCTGGAAGTCAAGGTAAACAACATCTATTGAGTCTCATCAATGTGCCTACTAATTCTTTCCTTAATAACAATTTCCATCAACTTACCTGACTGGCCTGTAATTTCTCAGATCTCCTCTGGAACCCTTTTTAAAGATGGGAGTGACATTAGCTACACTCCAGTCCTCAGGAAAGGAGGCAGATTTTAATGAAAGATTACATATTTTTGTCAGGAGATCCACAAGTTCACATTTGAGTTCTTTCAGAACTCTCGGATATATGGCATCTGGGCCTGGTGATTTATTAGTTTTTAAGTTGTCTGTCAGTCGTAGGACCTCCTCTTTCATCGCCTCAATCTGACTCAGGTCTTTCAACACCCCTCCCAAAGTCAGCGGTTCTGGAGTGGGCAAGCACTTCTCATCTTCCACAGTGAAGACAGGGGCAAAAAATGCATTCAGTGCTCTTTTTACCCCTTGGTCATCCAAAGGCCCCACTGCCTCCCTGGCTGGTTTCCTGCTTCCAATGTATTTGAAGAAAGTTTTATTGTTGGTCTTTATGTTTTTTGCTATATGCTCCTCATATTCCCTTTTTGCCTGCATGATCATTCACGGACTTGCATTCTATTTGCCACAGCCTGTGTTCCCTTTTATCAACCTCACTGAGACTAGCTTTCCACCCTTAAAGGAATCCTTCTTACCTTTTATAACTTCCATTACTTTGTTTGTTAACCATGCAGGTTCTTTTCTATACCTATTTGTGCCTTTCCTAATCTGCAGTATATATTTGTTCTGAGCTTCTAGGATTGTAGTTTTAAATAGTCTCCAAGCTTCCCCAATGGTTTTGACCCTTTCTACTTTTCCTTTCAGTTTCTTCCTCATGTCCCCTCATATCAGAGAATTTACTCCTTTTAAAGTTAAAAATGGTTGTGTCAGTCTTTTTGGGCAACTCCCTATTTATACAAATAACATTATGGTCAGTGTTCCCAAGTGGTGCAATCACTTTTACATCTCTCACCAGGTCTTGGGCGTTACTTAGGACCAAATCCTAAAGATTGCCTCTCCCCTGGTAGGTTCTGTGGCCATCTGTTCCATAGCACAGTCATTGAGAGTGTCTAGAAACGCAATCTCTTTTTCCCAACTAGAACACATATTGACCCAATCAATTTAGTTAAAATCACCTATTACGACACAGTTATTTCATCTAACCGCTATCTTTAATTCATTCATCATTTTATAATCCTCCTCTGTCATTTGATTTGGTAGGTGATAACAAACTCATAGTGTTAACCTTCCTTTTGGGCCCACTATTTCAACCCATAGCATTTCCAGAAGCTCGGAGTGTCTCCAGACCTTTGCTGTGAGAGACATATGAATGTGAGTCTGCTAATATTCTTGGAGCTCTCAATATTTTTTGATACCATTGACCATTGTACCCTTCTGGGCTGGTTGGTGGAGATGGGCATAAGGAGCACAGTGCGCTGGTGGTTCCAGTACTATCTGGCTAATCTGTCCCAGAAAGAGGTGCTGTCAGATTGCTGTTTGACTCAGTAGCACCTATACTGTCGTCTTTCTTGTCTACTGTTCTGTTTAATATAAAACCTCTGGCAGAAATAATCTGGTGATTTAGGGTGAAGCATTGTCATACATCTGATACTAAACCTGCACCTCAGTGTACAGTATGAAAAAAACCACACTGGGGGCAGGGACACACTCAGGTGATGTTTGTACAAACCAGTGTTAGCACCAGGTTTGCACGCACAAAACAGAAAAGAGTTAATGGGAATTTTTAAAACATTGAAAACTGTAATGTACTGAGGGGGGAAACTTACTGCTGTGTCACAAGATCTTGGCTGCCATTTTGGGGATTGCTTAGCAACCCTATAAACAGTCGAAACCAGCAGAAAAAACTGGATGGTGCTGCTGGGTGTGTCGGGAGGGGAGGGTGGAAGAGCCACCACCGGTGAGCCAGGCAGATGGAGCCACTAGCAACAGTACAAATGCTGGGTGAGCCCAAGAAGAGAAGATGGAAGGCAGAGGAAGCAAGAGAAGTAGTGGGTGCTTGAAAAAGGAAAGGAATGTGCCAGCTGAGAGGAGGGCAGAAAAAGCAAGTGAAGATAGTGGGAGGGGCAAAAAGGAAGAGTGAGGGGTTTCCCCTCATTGGTCCCTGCTTGTCATATTCTATTTACCCTTGAGATAGATAAGTCAGTAGATGTTGTGTTGGTGGTGGGGTCAATGTACTTCTGGGAACAGAATAAGAGTGAAGTTGAGGTGAGAAGGGAGAATCAGTGAAAACTGTCATCCTTCCCTGCAATGGAAAATCTGTTAAGATCAATCCCATTATTTTGCACATTTTGAAGATCTGTGCTGGCCACTAGTTTGCTCCTGGGCACAATTCAAGATGTCTGTAGTTTCTTTACAGGATCATTGCCCTCCCTAAAAGTCCCCTGTTCCTGATGAAATGGTTTCTCTGTGCTACTGAAATCCCAGGGTGCTGGCAGCAAGACTCAGCTGGATGGTAGATATTGTATTCAGGGAAGGGAGACAGAGACCTCAGAATTTGATAGGTTCCATTCAGTTCAATAACTAGCCTAGCTGGCAGCTCAGCAAGTGTCCTCCACATCGTTTGATTAAAATTGTATTTCCAACAAATCGGTATGCCACTATAAAACCTGAAATCTGGCTTGGTAATTTACAATATCTGCTGTGGTTCATCTCAAAGTTTTGAGGAGCTTTCATTTTCAGTGTAAATTGAGGGAAATAATCATTGGTGGTATAAGGGCAGTTTCTATGAACTACCACATAATAGAGCTGAAATATTTATCTTATAACCCCTGTGATTCATGGCCTTCCAAGGAAGCTGGTTATATGATGGCTTGACGTGTCCTTGGGGACTGCATAAAATTATGTGAAGAAGGGTTTTTAGATATTTCCAAGCTGATGGTATGCAACATGATCTTGTACGTGATCACTTGGAAATAAATCCCAGTGAATTCACTGGAACCTTTTCCGAAGAAAGAGTGAAAAGAATTGCATCCTTAATCCTGGGAAGTGTCTGGCTGGTATATTCAGTTTCACTCATGCCTGCTTAAAGCCATTGGTGGATAAAAACTAAATTTGACTGTATTTTCTCCCTGATTTCAAAAGGCTTTTCTTCAGATTCTTGACAGCTTTTGCCTCTTTGCTCTTATTTTGCATGCAAGATATTGACAGCAGCTTGTCTTTTTCATTGTGTACATGCATAGTGTTGATGGCCTTGCCTTGCCCAAGTTGCCTCATTACTAGAAACAGCTTGAAACACAGAAGTCTTTCAGTGTATGCAAATAAAACAGAATCCTCTACCTGAGAGTTAATGTTCTCTGCTTTTAAGTGTATTCTAAATCTAATGTTTGTATTTACAACATAACATCCTGTTCTCTCTCTCTCTCTCTTTTTCATGGGCAAAAAGCTAAGCAAGCTCAGGCAGCTGTTTGATGTTGGCTTCAAGTGTTATTAATTTCATATTCTATTATTCTTTTCACTGTAGCACAAGTGAAGCTGATGTGGAGGCTGTCATGGATAAGTTGTTTGATGAGCTGGCTCAAAAACAAAATGATTGTACGTAAGTTAATTTCTCTTGAAAGAGAATACATTTAGAACACAATGCCCAATCTCCACTGACCAATTAATAAGTTCCACTGCTGTATATGGGTTGATGCCACACTCAAGTGGCAGTCATTGTATCAGCATTTTGTCTAATTTATGTGTTGAATCATGTGCTATTATTCATCAAGCTATGCATTTCCTATCTGTAAGAGATGAGTTTTATAGTAATTATCCAGACAAGATTGAGTCTTTGTTCATGTTCCCATAGTAACTAGACCAAGGATTTTAAAAGTACAAGGCAGAGGGCTGAGAGTGAATAAAGCATGTGGAACCGTTGCAGACTTCACGTTTGAAGAGCTGTGTGACAGAGTGAGTACCCAGTCAAATCTAGATCGGTTGGGCTTTTCAGGCTTTTTTCCCTTCCTTTTTATCCTATCCCAGCTCCAAACAAGCCTTCCAATCTCGTTTGAACTAATGACAATAACAACAACAAAACTCGATTTGCAGAGTGGAAAAGTAAATAAACACTGAATGGATGAAAAAGCATGGTAAATGGTTTCTCCTGAGAGGTGGCACAAAAAGTCACTGTTGAAAGTAATTGATAATGTGATTTAAATGCCAAAATGGAGGTTGCTGATATATTAATGCCCCAAAGTCATTCATAGATTCATAGCCATTCATAAATTTGACTATAAATAAATAAATAAATAAATAGTTATGTATTTTTAAAAGAAAAATTGAGCAACCTTGATGGTCAATTACAGAAGAAGAAGGATTGGATTTATACCCCGCTCTTCACTTGGAGTCTCAGAGCGGCTTACAAACTCCTTTCCCCTCCCCTCCCCACAACAGACACCCTGTGAGGTGAGTGGGGCTGAGAGAACTCTGACACAAACTGCTCTTTTTCAAGGACAGCTGTGCCAGAGCCTGTGACTGACCCAAGGTCACATCAGCAGATGCAAGTGGAGGAGTGGGGAATCAAACCCGGTTCTCCCAGATTAGAGTCCGCACACTTAACCACTACACCAAACTGGCTCCACCAAGGATCATTTGTATAAGAAAGTACAGGAAAAAAGAAGTCCAGTAGCACCTTAGAAACTAACAAAATTTATTCCAGCATAAGCTTTCATAAATAATCAGATGGCTTTGAAGTCAGCCCTGGCTCCTCCTGAAAGCTATGTTGGAAAAATGTTCTTAGACTTTAAGGTACCAATGAACTTCTGTTTTGCTGAATCAGACCAATGGGCCATCAGATTGGCAAGTTCCAAGCAAGGTTTTCTGCACTACTACCATGACATGTGCTGCTCATCAGTCTTATTTTTTGTTTAATCTTACTGAAGAGATTAAGGTGAGAGTTCTGTTCAGGTATCTTGTAACTAAAGGACTTACATTATATTGTGTGTAGGTTCTCTAAATCTATGTGTACATCATGCAGCTTTTCCATAACACCTTCACCCTCTAAATTTCAATTTATAGGCAAGCATTCCATGGCTAATTTAGGCCTGAAAACAAGCGCTCTTATAATAAATGCCTTGGTGCAAGGTCATTTCTCTTGACAACAGAAATGTATAGTAAAGAGGTAGCATGTAGTTACTGCCTTATGTGGTATCACTCACAAATTGATCTTGTGCAGTTGTACTTGGAGAAAATAACTGCTGACTCCATTTGAGCTTACCACTTACCACAGACTAAATTTTAAATGGGACAGCATTTATAACTATGAAGTATTCAAGCCCCGAAGCTTTCCGAGGAAGAAACATAACTGATAGTTCTGCGCTGAAGACAGTTAGCTATACCTCTTATAGATTGTGAGATAGAATATATATTCATCATTTCTACAACAATAAAATATTTTGGAATGAGAACATAGGTCTTTTATTGTTAGCTAATTCAAGGCAGCTGTATATTCTAGGATTTTTAGTTATGACCACACAATCAGTGTGTACAGAGAGGCTTTACTATAAACATACAGAGGCCCAGTGAAAAAAAATTTTAAACAACCACCTTGTACAGATTTTGATGATTTAATTTGAGCAGTTAAAATATGTTTGTTTTGAGGCATTGCAAGTTGAACTCTGGATTGTAAGCAGTCTTAATAATAAAGTACAATCTGTTTTTTCCAGCTCATTTTTTTTAAAGTTTAATCTGTATATTTTCTGTGCAAAGGTTATGCAAAAATTTCCATATGGTCCTCCAAATTATAGACTCATTGATATAGAAATATTTTTATCTGAGGTTCTTGATGCTACATAGCAAACAGAAGCAGAAGTTCCAATAAACATTCTGGAATAATTGTACAGTTTCATTTCATATACTACTTTGATTATATGTACAAAGTCATTTCACTTCTTTTTTTTCTCTTCAGTCTATTTAATATAAGGACAAAACTTATATTACTATATGAAGGAAATCAGTATCGACCTAAAGTGTAGATGAAGTATCATTGTGTTTTTAATGTCTTGGGATATTTCCATTATAAACATTTCCTGACTCCTTACAAATTTTGTCATATTTATGATAGCAAATACTGCCCTCTGATGGCAGTAACTGACTTCTTAGCGTAATTAAGACTGTTTACCGTCAATTATGTCTCTGTGGCAGCAGAGCCAATTTGTCCCTTACCAGTAGCTGTAATCCAGTGGTAGTAGCTTGATAACAGTAAAAAAAAGTCACACGGACATACTCAGAATTGAACTTTGTTGGTCTTGGAGGTACCACCAGACTCAAACTTAGTTCTCACATCTGTTTGTTAATTCTTGTATTTGTGTGCTAACTGCTTTAATCCAATCTCAACTATATTTATTGCCCAGTTACTTATGTGTCTTGACTCTAACTAGCCCTTCCTGGCAACTAACCTCCCCACCCTCTCTCTACCTATATGTAAGGCTTGAGGAAAACTTTTTCAATATTATCTGATGAAGGGTACACGCACAGAAAAGCTTCTACCCAGAATTAAACTGTGTTGGTCTTAAAGGTGCCACTGGACTCAAACTTTGGTCTGTTGCTTCAGAATCTATCCTGTCTTGGATGGGGTTATACTCCCCTTGAAAAGCCAGGTTCACAGCTTGGAATGCCACTTGGCACAGCTGTCACCAGCTTCAGCTGGTGTGTCAGTTGCGTCTATTCCTGGTTTAGTCAGATCTAAACACAGTGATTCATGTCTTAGTTACATCTAGACTGGACTACTGAAATATGTTCTGCTTGAGAGTACCCTTGGAGACAGGGCCGGCCCCAGCTTATTTTGCACCCTAGGCAAGGATCCCTTCTGGCACCACCACCACCCGTGCGCCCACCAATTTTCAAAAATAAATGCATTTTAGGAAGAATGAAAAACACAAATAATCAAGAAACTCCCAGAGTACGGGCCCGGGTGCAGTTTGGCACCCTTAAGGGCTGGCCCGCTCTAGGCGATTGCTTAGTTCGCCTAGTGAGTGAGCCAGCCCTGCTTGGAGAATGTTTTGAAGCTAGTGCAGAATGCTGTGTCGAGACTACACAAGCTAAACATGAGCCTGCAGTGTGATGTGACTGCGAAGAAATCTAATGCAATCTTAGGATAAATTAACAGAAGCATTGTGTCCAGATCACGGAAGGTGATAGTTCTGCTCTATTCAGCTATGGTCAGGCCTCACCTGGGGTACTGTGTCCAGTTTTGGGCACCACATTTTAGGAAGGATGTTGACAAGCTCGAGCGTGTCCAGAAGAGGGCAACCAGGATGGTGAGAGAGTTGGAATCCAAGTCTTATGAGGAAAGGCTGAAAGAATTGGGTATGTTTAGCCTGGGAAAGAAGGCTTAGAAGGGACATGATTGCAGTCTTCAAGTATTTGAAGGGCTGTCATGTAGAAGATGGAGCAGATCTATTTTCTCTTGCTCCGGATTGCAAGACTAGATCTAATGGGTGGAAATTACAAGGGAGTCGTTACCAGCTACATATCAGGAGAAACTTCCTAACTGTAAGAGTGGTTGAGCAGTGGAACAGACTGCCTCGGGAGGGGGTGGATGCTCCTTCGCTGGACATTTTCAAGCGGAGGCTGGATGACCATCTTTCAGGTATGTTGTAGGGCTATCTTTGTAAATAAGTTTGTAATACCAGCACATCCCTACCTTTTTCCTGGGCTTTCGTGACCGTACCCAGGTGCCTTTATGAGACTTCCTGCGCTCCAGATCCCCAGGCCCTTAGGCTCTAAAAGGGGGTGCCACTTAAAGCAGCAAAATCCAAAATAAGATGGGGACCCCACTAACCAAGGGGGCCTCAGGTGGAGGAGGGGGCGAGGTCCTTAGACTAATTAGGGCTGGGGTGCAAAGCTCTATATGTTAAAATAACTGACTTTAACAACAATAATAACAGACAATATATTAACTTGCCAGTGAACTGAAAAAGAGTGGATGGTTTAGTCAGATTAACAGCTTGGTGGACCCATCTTGGAATAAATTAATTTTCTACTAGTGTGACTATGATAAAATTCTACCTGTAATATCACAAATAGTAACAGAAATCCATAGTGCTTTTGTCATCTATCTTTAAATGACAACCAAAAAACAAACAAACCAACAAGCAAATTCATTTATTGCAAAAGTGGATATTGAGATGCCTGCAGCCTGATTGTGAGGGCCTACTCCCCCTAGAGACTAATTTAAAAGTTAGTCCTTTTCAGGATGCTCTGAGAACTGTAGCTGTAAAGAGGGATTAAGTTGTTTTTTTAAATAGAACACCAAATGACAGTTCCCAAAGTGTTTGTGGAAACCATGACAATTCAACAGATATAAAATATAAATTTAAAATTGAAGTGTGTTGTATAAATGGGAATTGCATTACCAGAGCCTTCTGACATTTGTTTTGATCTGTATAAGGAAAGAGAGAGGATGAGTGATGGGATTGCTTTTGATCCAAATAGGATGAGAAAAGAGAGAAGATGGAGGATGAGACTGGTATGGAGGTAGAGAAAACACAAGTGTTAGTGAAGTGTATTTTTGGTTGTTCCAGTTGTAATGCCCAAACCTCCCACTAATTTACTTCAATATTTATTAAGTGCAAGACTAAAGAATGTCATTTAGAGAAGGAGGAGTTGTGCCAGATAATCTTGTTTGAAACTTGAGGTGGAATAACATGCTCAAAGATGGTGCTCGCTGAAGTGCCATTGAGTATTCAAATCAAGCAGATCAGTTATTCACAGAGCAAGCTATGTGACTTTAGAATAATTAGTTCCTCAAAAGTGGCATTCTGTTGAGGCATGTGAACTGCTATTGATTGATACAGAAGCATTACTCTCTTGCGGATCCGGTTCAAACGAAGGAGGACGGACG